CTGACCCTACCTAACCCTAGTCCACAAGCACCCGAACCCTTCAGGGCCCTAGACCCTAAACCCTAAACCCTAAACCTTCAGAAGCACTGGCACAGCAGGAGCTCCTGGACGACATGATGCAGCGGGCGGCGCCCTTCGGCTGCATTTGGGTTGGCAGCATACATGGGCTTAGGGTTTAGGGTTTAGGGTTTAGGGTTCAGGGTTTAGGGTTTGGTTTTAGGGGTTTAGGGTTTTAGGGTTTAGGGTTTTAGGGTTTTCGGGTTTTAGGGTTTAGGGTTTAGGGTTTAGGGTTTAGGGGTTTTAGGGTTTTAGGGTTTAGGGTTTCGGATTCAGCTCTAATCTAAGGCTTGGGATCCCACTGGTACCCTTTTCCCTTTTTTTGGTTCAAGGTTCCCTTATCAAGTAGCCAACCCCAAACAGGGCACCCTGATTATAAGAAGGTTACTGGGCTACCAAGAAAGGTAGTTTCACGGGCCCTTAATATGGTCCCTTACCCCCCTTAAACAGTTCTGATGTATGGGCCCAGAACGGGTACCTTTTTAGGGGCCCTTACTAGGGGACCATGCAGCTACGTTTAGATCTAAGCCCGAAACGGGTTTTGGATTTATGCTTAAGGGGTCAGGATATCGGGCTTAGGGTTTAGAGTGCGGGGTGCGATGCCATCTCGAAAGGGCTTCTCCAAGCCCCATTCTGGGGGGTATCTATTTGGGAAAGTTCGGGGTTGAGGGTTGAGGGTACAATATGCAATCCCATAGCGCCCAGACCCGTCGCTGAGTACCCTAGACCCTAAACCCCAAGTGCTGAACCCCCCCCCCCCCCCCGAGCCTAAAAGCTTAATAACACCCAAACCTTGCAACCTTTTTTCTCCTTTCCTAGCGGCAACCCTAGGTGGGGAGGGTGGGTTAGGGTTTAGGGTTCTCCGAGGGTAGCTTGAGGGGCCTAATAAGGTCCTTAACCTCCCATCAAATGTTCTGATGTATGGGCCCCGTAATTTGTATAGGGTATGTAAGGGGTAGAGAAGGGGTACCATGTTAAGGGCCCATACTAAGGGACCATGTAACTACCCTAAGGGCTTTTGCCCAAGAGCAGCTGGACCCTTTGGTTTAGAAACACACCGAACCCTAAACCCCGATAAGCGTCCCAGCCTAAGGCCCACAAGGAAGCCATGAGCCTTCCGAAAACTACCCTAAGAGTCTAGGGTTCATGGTTGGGGGTTCACTTGAAGGTTCATGGTACTTATTAACCAATTATAACTGTACTTGTAGCCCAAATTATAACTATATTAGGGCACTTAAGGGGCTTATAAGTACAGTTATAAGTACAATTATAATTGGTTATTAAGTACCATGAACCTTCAAGCAGGGTTTCGGGTTGTGTATAATCAGGCATCCTAGGTGTGCGTGCGAGGCAACACACAAACACACACAGAACCCTTAAGGCCCTAAAGTCCTCACGCACCCGAAACCAAAGTGCCCCACTGAGGCGAGCCGACGAGCCGTCAGAGATGAATTTTGTCAAGAAGCACTACCTGGAGCCTTGGGGGTTTCGGGGTTTAGGGTTTAGGGTTTAGGGCCTGCTTAGGGGTCTAGGGGGTTAGGGGTTACGCTTAGGGCCTGTGTAGGGTTCAGGGGTTTCGGGGCTTAGGGGTTTAGGGTTTTAGGGGTTTAGGGGTTTAGGTCGCAGGCTGTTGCCGGTGCCCGACGGCCTTTGGGGCTCTCTGCTCTTCAGGGCTTCTGGAGCTATAGGATGCCCAGGATCGAAGAATTACTCAACATACCCCTTTGGGGTTTAGGGTTTAGGGTTTAGGGTTCAGGGGTTTAGGTTTTTAGGGTTCAGGGCCTCAAAACTCTACGAAATGTTCAACATAGCTCTTGGGCATACCCTCTCCCTTCGCACAGGGCTCCGGGGGTGCGGGGGTGCCAAAATCCCACAGGCGAGTTGGCGAGCTACAGAGATGGGTTTAGGGTTTAGGGCGAGTAGCCCTAAACCCTACGCCCTAAACCCGAAACCCTACGCCCTAAGCACCTGAAGCCTCCGAAACCTTCAGGAGCTCCTGGAGCAAGAGCAGGCACACAGCCGGGGGCGTTTTTAGGGGGCTCACAGCCTTTAGGATGAGGGGTGGAGCTACTTGGGAGGATCATGGGAATGTTCTGAGCACCAATCACTACTCTACTCAACGCTCTTTAGATTTTAGGGTTTGGGTTTAGTTTGGGGTTCAGGGTTTAGGGTGCTACAACTACAACTTCATCACTATATTAAGGGAGCGAAAAGTTAAACCTTTATAGGGGTGTTAAAGAGCAACCAAGTTATATAAGCCCCCTAGGTCCTAAGTAGGCTTAATGCAGGCTTATACTTGGGGTTGTAAATAACCCATGAACCTCCAAGAAAGCCCTCAATCCCAAATCGCGGTTTAGGGTTTAGGGTTTAGGGGTTAGGGTGCTAGGTAGGCCCTTGAACTTATACTTGGGGTTGTAAATAAACCATGAACCTCCAAGAAAGCCCTCAATCCCAAATCGCGGTTTAGGGTTTAGGGTTTAGGGGTTAGGGTGCTAGGTGGGCCCTTGAAGGACATGTTGCTTTCTGTGTGCCCTTGTTGGGTTTGAGAGGAACCTCTGTAGGAATACTTTTAAGAGGGTTACTAGGACCGGGAGTAGGCCCTTTTTGCCTTTTTTTATAGGGTTTGGGGGTTCCCTTTATCATCCCCTTAAAACCCAAAGAGGGCACCCTTTTTATTCCTAGGTTCCTCCCGCGTCGAGGTCATACGGGCCACCCAGGTGTAGGATGCCCAGTAGCCAAACCCCAAACCCCAAACCCCAAACCCTAAACCCTAAACCCCAAACCCCAAACCCCAAACCCCAAACCCCAAACCCTAAACCCCAAACCCTAAACCCTAAACCCTAAACCCTAAACCCTTCTTCCGCCCCTTGAGTTTGGGACCCCCAAAGGGCCTCATTTCCGTACTTGTTGAGGAGTCCCGCTGCCTCCTTTCCGCCCTTGGCCCTAAACCCCAAACCCCAAACCCTAAACCCTAAACCCTAAACCCTAAACCCTAAACCCCAAACCCCAAACCCCAAACCCCAAACCCCAAACCCTAAACCCTCACCCCACCCCGAGCCCTGGACCCTGAACCTTAGCCCCTCATAGCACGATCCCGAAAGCTTTTACGACGCCGCTTCCAGCCCGAAAACCAGAAAACCTGAACCCTGGACCCTAAGCCGCCACTCTCACAAGGCCAGCGAATTAAAACCCACACGCTCGCCGAAATGCTTTCAAGAGAATGAAACCCTTAGGGTTAAGGGTTTAGGGTTATACCCAGTCTCTAACCCCCCAAACCCTGTGCCTTTTTGCGGATTCCTACATACCCCTTAAACCCTCTCAACACCCTAAACTTGAAATATTCCCCAGTCTACTACCCGTGCTTAGTAGGGATTCGAACAGAGGGGATACTAGAATCCCGATGAGGGACGGTTCGTCTAAAGGGGGAACATCCCAAGTCATGTCACCCTAAATCCTAAACCCTAAACCCTAAACCCTAAACCCCAAACCCTAAACCCTAAACCCTAAACCCTAAACCCTAAACCCTAAACCCTAAACCATAAACCCTAAACCCTAAACCCTAAACCCTACCCCCCCTTAAAGCCCCGAAGCCCCGAATCCGAAAGGACGAGGAAGCTGCCGCTTCGCGGATCTTTTCCAACGCCGCCGGGGAGTTCGGCTCTCTTGTGCACCTCGGAGTTGAGGAGTTTAGGCATTTTTAGGGTTTAGGGTTTAGGGTTTAGGGTTTAGGGTTTAGGGTTTAGGGTTTGGGTTTAGGGTTTAGGGTTTAGGGTTTAGGGTTCAGGGTTTAGGGTTTAGGGTTTAGGGTTTAGGATTTAGGGTTTAGGGTTTAGGGTTGCACGATGTGCGTTCACCGTGGCGTGGCGACATTGCTTCCGGCTCTTGCAAAGCGCCGTGGAGTTGGAAGTTGGAAGCTCGGGACAAGCTCCTTCGATACTACTTCGAGCAGGTGGAATGTGGCCTCGACGCGGCATGGCGGGGGAGCATGGTTGATCGGGTCCAGCCCGGTTCTCTTGTGGGATCCCAAGCCCAGGAGTCATATCACCAACACCGGTTGAGGCCTGGCTTAGGAACCATCCGCTTGAGCATGGACCTATTCATGCAAAACTTGACGGTGTTTATGGAGACGAGGGCAGAGCAGGCGACACAGTTCCCTCCCTTTCTTGTTTAGAAGGAAAGTTAAGTGTTTTCTCCATTCCTTGGCCATTGGAGAAGTAAGGTTTTGGCAGTTTTGGATTCTAGGTTTCTGGGTTTAGGGTCTTGGGCTTAGGGTTTTCGGGTTCAGAGTTCGAGTTTTGGGGTTTAGGAGTTTAGGATTCTAGTTTTCAAGGTTTGGGGTGTTGGGGTTTTGGGGTTTGGAGGTTTGGGTGTGTTGTGCTTTGGGGTGTGAGTTTGTGGTTTCAGGTTGTAGGGTTTGAGTCAGTGTGTCAGGTTTTCCCGTTTTTGGGCTGGGCTTTTTGATTTTTGGGCTTGAGCATTTTCAGGACTGCTTTCGGGTTTTAGGCTGTAACCCTAAACCCCAAAACCTAAACCCTAGACCCTAAACCCTAAACCCCAGAGGGTCTGCCCTAGATGCACCTGGGCATGTCATCGTCGCTCATCTCGCTCGGATGAGATGCTCCGGTATCTCAGTCTAACTTCATACATCCCCGTATAGGGTTTAGGGTTTAGTGTGAGACTTGAAGGTATTGGTACTTGTATGATTAATGGCATCTTTCCTTTCGAAGTCTGTTGCAACTCACACTGGTCACCCCGAACCCAGTAGCCCAATCACTTTTCTCGTCAGGCCGAAGAAGACCGAAGGCATTTGGTCCGAATGGAAGAGAAAAGGGCGCCACGCCTCCCATCCGAGGCCGGACTTGGGAGGGCTTTTCCCTTAACTTCCCCTGTAGTCTCACATTGGTAGCGGAGCCTCGGCTCCTGTAGATCCTTTTGTGCCTGCCATGGCTGCTGCTAGCGAGCCCTCGGGGCAAGTTCATGATGATGTCCTGGACGGCCAGCCGCCGCCGGGATTCGAAAGTGAAGATAGGCGTTCAGACGCCCCGGAAAGGCCACCTGAACCTTCGTTCAGGTACAGCAGTCGGAAAGACGATAGTGAGACTGGTTCCAGCCGAGACACCGGAGCCAACGGCGACCCCGCCGACCGCATTCGCAGCAACACCACCCCTTCCGAGTGGGACGACTCCAGATGGGGCTGGGGACGAAGCCAGGAGACTCACTCTTGGGGAGAAGAGTGGGAAAGGCCTGGCGAACAGCAGAGTCGCCAGACAGACGCATGGGGACGACGAGCAAGCTGGGAGACCGGCATTAGCTTCAACAGTGGTGGCGATGATCGCCAAGCCTGGCGACCCGAAGATCCCTGGTCCCAGGGACGAGACCCCTGGTCAACCGGGAAGAATGATGGCTGGCATGGATGGGCTGCCGACGATGGGGCATGGCGAGTACCCCGAGCCGATCCCCAGGCAGATGGCCGAGCTGGACACGGGCGAGGAAACGATCATGCTGAAGACCAACGAGGACAATGGGTGAGCTGGAAGGCCGACTGCGGCCGCCCGACATGGCCTGGGGACTTCGATGCTGGGTTCCGGGCATACGAAGAGCGAGGCGGTGGACACCGCCCCGCCGGCCGTGCCTCCGAGAAGTTGAACGTTCCCTCGTTCACCGGAGAGGACATCGAGGACTTGGGGGGATCGGCGAGATCGTATCTTCGACAAGTGGAAGCGTGGAGGAGAATGACATACTTATCCACCTCACAGCAAGGCTTGGTGCTGTACCAGAACCTCGGGGGCAAAGCTTGGATCGCGGCCGAGGAGCTGTCGGTCAAGACCCTCGCCTCCGACAAAGGCGTCGACTACCTGATCGCCTGGATCAATGCCCGCTTCTTGGACCTGGAGGTGGCGAGGATTGGTCGGGCCTTCTCCGACTTCTTCAGGCGCCTTCGCAGGAAGCCCAACCAGACGATCAGGGAGTACAACACCGAGTACGACAGGCTGCACGCGAGGCTGAGGGAGGTCGGGTGCTCTTTGCCGGAGGAGTGTGCCGCCTGGCTGTACCTGGACAGGATGCAGCTCGAGGAGGCTCAGGAGCTGAACCTGTTGGCAAGTGTGGGAAATTGCTACAGTCTCCATCGCCTTCAACAAGCAGCAGTGCTCCATGACAGGGGGCAGAGGAAGCCATGGGAAGGAAACCGACCCCGGAAACCTCACTCTGCCCACATCACCGACAACGCCGACGGTGGCCTTGGAGACGATGGTTCCCGCAGCGGCAGCGAGCTTGAAGACGGGGTCCCAGAGGATGTCGCCATCGCCTATGCCACCTACCAGAGCGCCAAGGAGAAGTATAAGGAGCAGACGAAGGCCAGAGGATATCAAGGCGACCGTGGAGAGAAGAGCAAGCAGAAAGGAGGGGACATGTCTCGCGAAGAGAAGGTCAAGCTGATGAAGAGTCGTTCCTTCTGCTCGTCTTGTGGGAAGAAAGGACATTGGCATCGAGATCCCGAATGTCCTAACCATGGTCGTGGAGTTCGTGAAGTTGAAGTGTGCCACCATGTACCTGCCGAGGTGTTCGCCTTGAAGTATGAAGGGACAGGCCTCGTTGGGATCACGGACACGGCGTGTGCGAAGTCGGTGGCAGGAACGAGCTGGCTTCAGGCCTACAGCGACCAGATCGAGAAGATCCATAAGAAGCCAGAGCTCGTCAGAGAGTCAGAGGCCTTTCGGTTCGGCACTGGGAAGATCCACCACTCGTCCTTCCATGTCGTGATCAGCTTTAAGCTTGGTGCGAAGGTGGTGGAGCTGAAGACCTCTATCATCAATGGAGACGTACCGCTCCTTTTGTCAAAAGGGGCACTTGCCCAAATGGGCATGGTGTTTGACGTGGCCGCCAATTGCGCGGATTTCGGGGCTGTTGGGCTGAAGGCCTTCGAGCTCATCACCACATCATCGGGACATCCGGCTATCCCGATCGTTCCGGCCAGTCCAGCTCAATCGGCTGTCAGGCTGGTCATTTCCGACCACGATCCTTCTAGCAATGGGCAATACACGGCTTTTGCGGTTTCTGCTTTTAGCACTCTTCGTCCAAAGCCTGACCCCACTACAACTTCAGATTCGGTGCAGTGCTTTCCCACCGATAGCAAGGTCCAGCAGTACAGAATCTTCTATGACAAGAAGCTTAGTACGGAGGTAAAGGAGCTCCTTACCCAAGATCGCCTACCAGCACAGTCCTTTATCGCATGGTGGGGGCAAACGAAGATCACTTCGGATTTCTGGTTGGAAGGGGAGTTTGCTTGGCACAGGATCCATGTCACCCCAAGAAGAGCTCTTTGCAACCCCTCAACATGGAAGACCCAGTCGACACTCCAAAAGGACATGTTGATACGTTCCATCACAGACATGCGAATCACGGAGGGCTTCTGTTGTAAGTCCGGAAAGCCACTTGAAGTCGCAGCCGATAGGTGGAAGGATGATGCATCGGAAGCTTCTTTCCCGCTGCTCTGGGTTGGCCGAAGTACTTTTGCCAAGCATAGCATGCCACGCCCTCTTGCCTCTGATCCGCATCGTGATGAACGCTCCATGTCCCCCTACGAGTCGGCCGCCGGCGATCAACAAGATGTCGAAGACCCAACTTCTTGCCGAGTGCAATCGACTGGGACTGGTGGTGCATCACGGATGGAGTTGCCCGGAGATCAAAGCGGTGATCATGGAGGACAGGATGAACAAAGCCGAGTCGGAGCCGGGCTACATCATGAAGTCCATCGCCAAGCTCAACCTGCCCGAACTCAAGCAGAAGGCCGACTCCCTGAACGTGCAGTACCCCAGCAATGTGACGAAGGGAGCCCTTCTAAGACTGGTGCGCGAGTCCCTCAACACCCCAGCGACGGAGCTCATGCAGATCGGGAAGTTCCGGGGCTACGAGTTCGGGGAGATCCCGGACAGCTACGGGAGTTGGGCGCTAAAGGAGATCAAGATGAGCTCCAATGCACATCCGGAGCTCGTCCGCTATGCACGATGGTGGGAGGAGAACCAGAAGAAGCGGTACTCCGGGAGAAGTAAGACCTCCGTGCAGATTGGCGGCTGTTGCGGCCGCGATGATCCGACTACCCACAGTGGACACTTCATCTCCCAAGAGGACCTTCGCAGAGGGTTGGAGAAACAGTCCATAAACTATGCCTGCCAGGCCGCCAATGCCCACGAAGCAGATGCCTTTGAGGGAGCCCTCGCGGAGGGCGACTTCTCCTTCGTGAAACTCAAGCAGCTCCTCCGAGGCATCGGGATATCCGAGAAGAACAATGGCAGGCCCGGCCTGCATGGGCATGAAGGTGTTCCCATGAAGTACCACACCTTTGGGCTGTTCAGTCATGGTGGAGTGTTCGGAGTGACCAACAACACGAAGAATTACAGCAGCGTCGTGAAGTATGTGAATGCCTTTGGCAGACACCACCTCGGGCCGAAAGCCGAGTGGACGTCGGTGACCCTTACTCACGATGCCGGAGCCGAGGTGCATCACGACTACAACAACCTGCGCGACACCAGCAGCTATGTCGTATCGTTGGGACAAGACGCTGGAGGGGGCTTGTGGGTGGAAGACCGAAAGGTCAAAGAGGAGGACATTGAGCATGGGACGGTCAAATGGCGACGACTACCTAACGGACGATGGCTCCCCGGGCGGATCGTCGACACCAAGGAGAACTTCTACGAGCTGGACCCCTTCCTCAAGCATGCAGTTGAGCCGTGGACTGGGACGAGATGGTCGCTAGTCTTCCACACCACCAGGAACTTCGTCAAGATCGGCCGAGAACTCCGGTCGTTCCTTAAGGGGTGTGGTTTTCCCCTTCCCGGGCGAGTGAACTCAACCCACAAGACCGACCTCGTTATCGATGATGAGAAGAGCAAGAAGCCCGGAAAGGTGACCCGGCGAACAATCTTCAACAATGCGGCGAAGATCAGTGTCATGATTGCGACCCTCATCTCGGCAGCTACCTCCTACATGGCCACCTACACATTGCCCGAGGTAGAGGCGGCCCCCATTGTGATCTTTGAGATCGGAAGCACCGAGGCCACCGAAGAGGCGGTTGCCCTTGGCAAGGATGTATTCGAACCTATGGATTGGGAGACGTTCGCTTCACCAGAAGGGAAGGGCACCGCGCATCACATCATCCACGGGGCTTCTCCGAAGGAGCTCAAGGTCGCATTGGGTGGGAAGCCAGACAGCTGCAATGAGGCACTCCTCGAGTTGATCGAGCAACAACTTCATGAAGGCGGGGCAGTCGTCGTCGAAGGCGAAACGTCCGACTCTCTGTTCCTGGACGAGAAGTTCCAGGGGATTCTTGAGAACCACACCCAGTATGTAACCCAATCGGACTTGGCGAAGCAGGTGGTGATGTACAAGTCTCGACCAGACCGACTACCTGTGCGTGGACAAAACAGAGTGCATCATGTATGTGCAGTTGAGCAAGTACAGCAGCACCGGCAAGGAAGAGACGAGGTCGTCATGGATGGAAGCGGCATCGTCTTCGGGGAAGGCACCCCGCCGAGAGTGGCATCGGCCCTTAGGAGATTGCACCAGAATTTGGGTCATCCTCGTCAGGCTGATCTCATCCGACACCTTCGCCTAGCGGGTTGCGACAACGAGATTCTCAAAGGGGCTAGGTCCCTCAGATGCCAGGTCTGCGACGCCAATGTCGCCCCGCGAATTGCTCGCCCGAGCGTGGTCCCGCAGCTGTGCGACTGGAACGACACGGTTGGGGTAGACATTTTCTATGCTCATGACATCGACGACAAGAAGCACACCTTTCTGTCCGTCGTCGATTACGGAACCACACTTCATCAGGTCGTCCGTGTCGATGGCCAGTCTTCCGACGATATCGAGGGCAAGTTCAACGAGCTGTGGATACTGCCCTTTGGTCCTCCTAAGGTGGTCGTTGCCGACCTAGACGGGGGGGTCCAAGGGGCGATCGGCCGGCTTTGTGAGTGGCACAACATTGGCATGAGGAGCATCGCCGCGCAGAGTCATTGGCAAGCTGGCATGGTGGAACGACAACAGGCCTGGTGGAAGAATATCTGGGAGAAGCTCGTGTACCAGCTTAGCATCGGCGAGGAAGAAGTCGACATAGCAGTCCCCATCGTCAATGGAGCAAAGAACGACCTCCGGCGTCGATGTGGACATAGTCCATCGCAATGGGTGTTCGGACGAGCTCCTCGACTACCCGAAGACTTGCAAGACCCCGACGGCGGTAACTTCGTCACCTGGGATGTTAGCGAGGATTCGAGGTTCCAGAGGCAGTCCGCTATGCGGGCGGCAGCTCGTGTGGCTTTCCATCAAAGCCAAGTGGACAGCAGGCTCAGGAAGGCTCTCTTGCAAAGAACTCGCACGACGCCCCGCCCCATCGAGATCGGAGAGAGTGTTCACTTCTGGCACAAACCCAAGAATCGTCGCCGAGGACAATGGACTGGGCCAGCAGTGGTTGTTGGCAAAGAGGGCAACAACTACTGGATCTCCAACAATGGGAGGTGTAGATTGACTTCGCCCGAGCACATCAGGGGGTCCACCCCCGAGGAGGTAGGTGCCTTCTTGGCCATGAAGGGCACAGCAGGAAGTCGAGAAGCTCCTCGAGTACGACCCAGATGGAGATGAGGCCTTTGAGGATGACGATGACCTCATATCCGACTACGTGCCCGACGACCTCGAAATGGCAGACCCCGACGACGAAGGCCCTGTTCTCGAACCTGGTTTGGAAGAACAACCGTCGCCCTTGCCAAGTAGGAGGCTCAAGCGAAAGACCGCAGTTGCCGAGCTCGAGACCGCTGAGCACGAAGCCATGATGTTGAGAAGCGACCTCACTCGAAGGGGCGTTGAGAAGCGAAAGGAGAAGGAGCTCAAGTGGAACGAAATCCCACAAGAGGTACACGACAAGTTCCTTCACGCAGAAAGAGTCCAGTGGGAGGAGCACTTGAGCTATGATGCACTACAACCACTGACGACAGCAGAAAGTGAGCGAGCCAGGCAGCAAGTGCCGGCGGAAAGAATCCTTCGGTGCCGATGGGCCTACAAGGACAAGAACTACTCCAAGCGAAGGGAAGGGGGCGGAGACATTCCCTGGAAGTGCAAGTCAAGGCTAGTTATAGCCGGCCACACAGACCCAGACCTTGGATCCGAGTTCTTGTCTACCGACGCCCCTACCCTGTCGCGATGTGGCCTGGCTTGCTTACTTCAATTGGCAGCCTGTGGACTTGGAGACAGCGATCCGTGGTCGCTTTCTGCAGGTGACATCAAGTGTGCCTTCCTCACCGGCAGCTATCTCACAAGGGAGCTCTACATGCACCAGCCGAAGACAGGGTTCCCCGGAATGCTGCCGGGACAGCTGGTGAAGATCAAGAAGAATGTGTTTGGCCTCGCCACTAGTCCTCACGAGTGGTGGGGAGACCTACAGGAAGGGTTCAAGGGGTGCTCCATCGTCGACGAAGCCGGCAGGGAGTTGCGCTTCGACCAATGCGCTCTCGATCCTTGCATCTTTGTGCTGAGGGAATGGAAAGACGGACACTTTACTGGCCCTCCCGCTGCATACGTTGGTTGCCATGTCGACGATCTACTGGTAGTCGCACCGAGATCCCTGAAGAAGAAGATCGAAGAAGCTCTATCGGCAGCGTTTCCCATAGACAGCTGGGAAGAAGACGCCTTCGAATTCTTGGGGGCCCTCATCACCGTGCACTCCGACAAGGTGACGGTCTCACAGGAAAAGTATGCTGCCACCAGACTCTTCAATCTGGATATCCCCATCAAGGCGAAGGACGAAGACGAGGCCGATAAGGAGCTCCAATCGGACAACAGATCGCTGATTGGAGCCCTCTCCTGGCTCTCTGCCCAGAGTCGCCCGGACTTGACATGCTCAGTCAGCATGGCGCAACAATTGCAGAAATCCCCGACGATTGGAGACCTCCGGTTCACCAATGCCATCGCAGCAAAGGCTCAGCAGTTCAAGCAGCACGGGCTCATCTTCAAGCCCATTCAGAGAGACAGGATGATGTTCGTGGTCTTTCACGATGCTGCTTGGGCGAACGTTCTGGAGTTTGACCCCCAGGAGGATTACTACGTGCTCACCGCCGAGGACAATCTTGCCGGGCTTCAGGACGAGGGGCCCTACAAGAACAAAGAAGAGGGGCGAAAGGCTAAGAAAGGCAACTCTCGGGTAGCCTCTCAGATCGGAGTCCTGGTCACCTTCGTCGATAAGGGGTCCCTCAACGGCAACCCCGGGAACTTCAGCATAGCCGACTGGAAGTCAAGGGCAGGTCAGAGGGTGTGCCGCAGTACGTTTGGGGCCGAAACATAGGCCTGTGCAGAGGGGCTTGAGACGGGCCAGTACATTCGCTCGATGTGGGAATCGCTCATCTCTGGCGAGTTGGTCACCGTCGAGAACGCCATCACCCCGATCCTCTGCCTGAGCGATTGTAGGTCCCTGTATGATCACTTGAACAAGCAAGGGGTACCTCGTGTCCCAACCGACAAGAGGTTGGCTGTAGATCTAGCTGCCCTTAGGCAGGCCCTGAGATCCGAGATGTGGAGCGAAGATCTGCCGATAGGGTGGATCCCCGGGAGTACCCAGAAGGGAGATATCCTCACGAAGCCGCAGAGTCCCGCCGAATGGTGGGAAGGCATGCAACAACCACTCGTTTTGCCTTTGGCGCATGGGCGAGGGGGGGCTCTGATCGGCAACAGGAAGATCAGACACAGAACCAGTGTGAGACTTGAAGGTATTGGTACTTGTGTGATTAATGGCATCTTTCCTTTCGAAGTCTGTTGCAACTCACACTGGTCACCCCGAACCCAGTAGCCCAATCACTTTTCTCGTCAGGCCGAAGAAGACCGAAGGCATTTGGTCCGAATGGAAGAGAAAAGGGCGCCACGCCTCCCATCCGAGGCCGGACTTGGGAGGGCTTTTCCCTTAACTTCCCCTGTAGTCTCACATTTAGGGTTTAGGGTTTAGGGTTTAGGGTTTAGGGTTTAGGGTTTAGGGTTTAGGGTTCCCTAGACCCCTCTCCCTAAACTCCCTCAACTCCCTAAACTCGCCAACCCCTGAACTACCTAAACCCCTAGACTTAATTAAACCCCTCAACTCCCTACACCCCCTAAACTCTGAACTTTGAACTCCCTAAACGCCCTAAGCTCGAAACCCTAAAGCCTAGTTGTATCTAGGTAGGCATTTCACGACGTGCTACACGTTAGCACGCCACGTTGCACGGATTGCCACGTTAGCGTGATTCATTTCACTTGCTCCCACGTGTAACATTTCCCGAGCGGCACGTGTTATAGCAGAAACGATCATTCCGAAATCGATGCTGGCACGTGTAACAGCTGGCGTGAAATCTTGTCGTTGTTGACATGGGCTGTGTGACGTCTACGGCAGGCCCAAGTGGAGAGCAGGAGTTGTGAACAGAAGTTCCAGAGCTGCGAAACACATGAGCAGACAAGACCCATGAGGGATTTCCAGTGCCTGAGCATCTTCTTGTTTGAGGGTCGAGGCCATGGGGCGCCGCGGCTTTGACAATCGCAACAACAAGCATGTCATGGAGCTGCTCGTCCCAAGTCACCTCGTGCTGCTGCAGCCTGGGGAATCCAAGAGGATCAACTTGCACTACGGCGGCCACGAGAGCTTTGAGGTCCCAGGAACGGCGAAGTGCGGGCGATACAAGTGCAGGCATTGCCCGGCCTTTTTCAGCGGTGATGCACGCAGGGCTGCTCGGCATTATCTGCCCACGGGACTTCCCAAGAGCTTCTTGGTTGCATGTTTTAGGGGCTTGAAACAGTCGAGTGATCAAGTTTGGGGGGTTCAGTCTGCCGTTAGCAAAGAGTTTGTCTGAGCAGTGCGCAATGGTTCTGGAACTGGGTTTCGGAGTGTTGAAACTGCTTCTGGAAGAGGTTGTACAGTTTTCAAGTCTCTAGAGATGTCAATATCGGTCTCGTCTTGGAAAACGCTCCTATGAACGTGATTTGGAGTGTTGAAATTGCCCATAGACTTGGGTTCAGTAGGTGTCCAGCCCAGTTGGTTTCGGGGTCTCAGAAAGGGATTTGGGCGCCGAAGCTGATCAGGAATCGGTGTTGTGAGGTGTCCAAACTGCTTGCAGTAGTGGGCTTTGGAATGACTTTGGGGGGTTCCAAACTGAGATTTCAGCTTGCTCTCCAGTTAGAGGGACTGCTTGGCCGCTGACTCATGCAGGCTTTTGGTCCAGTGGCGATGCTGCCGGGGTGTCGCTCTGCACAGCTCCGCCGCTCAATCTTGTGGGGCAGCTGGCGGATCTCAACTGTGTCGAGCACCTGAAGGCCGGTGACAAAAGAACGTTTGGTGACATGTCATCACAAGAGCTTCCCTTCTTGATACTCTTGCGGCTTCGGGTAGTTTGTCCGAGTCTGTCCGAAGTCTGTCCGAAGTCTGTCCGAAGTCTGTCCGAAGTCTGTCCGAAGTCTGTCCAGGCCCGGGCGTTCTTGGCTGGCGACGATGTGTCCAACATGGGCACCATGACGGATGCTCCCCCGAGGAAAAAGAAGGGTGATGCTGCCGAGCAAAACTGGGACATCTTGTCGGCTTCACTCACTGATCCCAGCCGTTACCGAGTGGATGCGGCCAACAAGAAGGACGTGTCTCGCCTCCTGGCTGTTGCTTTCAGCACGGGCGGTGTTCCGAGTAACTTTGCGGAGAACTACCACTTCAAGTTGGCCATGAAGACTTTGCAGGAGATGCTTGTGGGCTCTGCGCCATGGAAACCACCTGGACGCAAGGATCTCGCCAAGATGCGCCCGCTGGAGTCTGCTGCAGCAGTCCACGACACGTCTGTTTGGATGGCTTCCGTTCGACACTTGACTTTGGCCGTCGATGGCCGCAAGATGGCCGAGGGCAGGTTCAAGGAGTCGATGCTGAACACTGCTGTGGCGCTCTCAGTTGCTGGCCTTGAAGCGCAGTTTTGGCTGCTTGAACTTACCTGGAAGGCAGTTTGGGCTACCTAAAACTTGTTTTTGAGGTTTCCAAAGCACTCCGGGCCGCTCTTGCCCCAGAAAACTGCTGCAAGCGACACAGGGTCCAGCTATATGTTGTGTGTCTTCGCCCCAAATGCAGTTTGGGCTGCCTAAAACTTGGTTTTGAGGTTTGCGGAACACTCAGGGCGGCTCCTGCTGCCTGCTATTTCTTGAATGGGTCCAGCTAGTGCTTCAGCTTCTGTGTGTTCACCCCAAATGCAGTTTGGGCCCCCTAAAACTTGTTTTTGAGGTTTCCCAAACAATCAGGGCAGCTCCTGCCGCAGAAAATTGCTTCCAGCTGAATACTGTTTTTGGGAATTGAAACAACGTTTTGCATCCTTGAAACGGTTGCCAGCCACTCGGGCCGGCTCCTGCCATGAAGCCTGCCCACATGAAACCTACAATTTTGCTTGCTACTGCTGCTCTTGGGATTTCGTCCTTTGCCCACTCGTTAAACAGCGTGAAACTACGTTGTGGAGGCGCGTGATTTTCCCCCTCTCCGCGGACGGGAGCGGTGGCCCGTTGTTTCCAAGTGGACTGTGAGCGTGTCTCCACCAAAACGATGCTGTCCTACTTGAAACGCAGTTTTGGCTACTTGAAACACGTGTCCAGGTCAATTAGCGTTTGCTGAAAGCCAGTCAAGCCAGTCGTTGACAGCGCAAGGTCGTGGGCTGTGGCGAGGAGCGCTTCTTGAGGTCGGAGGACATGAGTGCGGTTCCGAAGGACACGGACCACACAGCCGAGTACGTCGAGGCCATCTTTTCGCAGGTTGATGGTCATCCGGCCCCCTCTGTGCCGGTCAACCTGGTCGCTGCTGTGGTCATGGATAGCCCAAATGTCAACAAGGCTGCCATGAAAGTCTTGGCAGAGAAGTACCCAAGCATCGCCTTCTTGCCCTGCGCTTTCCACGCGCTGGACAATTTCTTCGGGAAGCTCGTGAAGAACGTCGAGCTCTTGGACAGGGCACGTCACTGTGCCAAGCGCCTGACGAAGTTCGCTTCCTCGAAGTCGCGGGTGCGTGCTGCGTTGCAACGTCTCGCAGCCAAGCAGGCTCGCCGCAGATCGCGTGCTGCAGGCAAGAAGTGCCACGCAGTGTTCTATGTTACGGTCCGCAAGTCTCGCCACTACCCCGTGATGAGGCAGGTCAAGCGGGCCTACCAGATGAACCTGCCGGCCTTCTTATACTTTCGGACCGACGAGGCCAAGAATGTGTGCGCTCCCTTCAAGCACTGGGAGGCCGTCCATCGCATTGCTGTGCGCAGTCGGGCTGCGTTTGTGCAGCTGGCCAAGTTTTTCCTGGCCATCCTCAAGCCCGTCATGCGGAAATTGCGGTTGGTGGATGCAGCCAGTGCGACCTTGCCGCATTTGCTGCTTCATTTGATCGACTTGAGGCATGACCTAATCGCTGCATTCCAGAACATGGGCTACAGCTACCGCTTGATGCGTGCGAAAGACGATGTGGACATCGAGGAGGCGCTGAAGCAGGACCTGAAGAAAATGGTCGGCCTTTACAACGACATGGCCAAGGCTTTGATGAGCAACTGGACTGTTGCCGCCTTCCTTGCGGACCCCTTCCATGTCATCAAGTACCGCGAGGAGGTGCGCGAGCGTGGAACCATGCGCTTGGAGGCCAAATGTACGGGCAAGCACTGGTTTCAGGGGGTTGAAACAACGTCTTCATGCCACGAACCGGCACTGTTCAACTTCCGGGACCGCTTCCTGCTATGAGCGCACCATGCAAGTCGTGCCCTGTTCTAAACACTGGTTTCAAGGGTTCAAAACAACATTTTGATGTGCCGACCAGCAGCGTTCGCAGTGTTCCCACATCCAGGACGTATTCCTGTTGCAAGCAGACGACACAGCGCATATGGTTGTCAAAACAAGGTTTTAAGGGCTTGCAATCTTGTTTCAGCCACTGTTTTCTCTGCCAGGCAGGGTTTGATCCGACCAAGAACATGCCCTCTGGCTTGGACGATGCAAAATGCTTCCGGTCATTGGCCTTCCATGCGGAGCGGGCAATGCTGGACATCATACCTCGCATCTTCCAGGAGAAGCCGCGTCAGAAGCAGGCGCGAGCCCAGCTGCGGAGCTACATGACACAAACTGGGTCCTTTTGTCCGCGGACGCTTGTCTGACACCCCTATCCCCCCACCCAGAATTACCAAAACCAACCCCTTTTTTCCAAAGACCCCAAGCCGGCAACTGTGCTGAGGAAGTTGGCAAGCTGGTGGGATGACGCGGGCTTTGATTTCATGGCCAATCCCAAGCGCAGCCGCCCCATCCCATTGCACCAGCTCTGGTGCGCGCATGATTTGGATGCTCCCGAGCTTTGCCACATCATGCTTCGCTTGGCAGGCCTGGCTTGCCTGGACTCGTGTAGCAGTTTGTGCTGGAAGAAGTTATGTTCAACCCATGTTTCGAGCTCCCCAAAGTAGCAAAGGGGCTAGGGTTGAGGGAAAAATGGAAGGGTTCAGGGTTTGGGCTCAGGTTTTGGGGTCCCGTGGCAGCTTCTGCTGTAGAAGAAGTTATGTTTAGCGATGTTTCGAGCTCCCCAAACTAGCAAAGGGGCAGGGTTGAGGGTTCGGCCTCAGGGTTTGGGGTCCCGTGGCAGTTGTGCAGTAGAAGTCATTCTTAAACTTATGTTTCGAGCTCTCCAAAGCAGCGCAGGGGCTCGGGTTTAGGGTCTACTGTGTCCGAAACCCAAACAATCACAGCCGTTGGCGGCCCTGTGGTAGGGTTGACGGTTTTGGTTTGAGGGTTTTCGGTTCTTTTTCGGGACGGAGGCTTGCTTTCCTGCGAGGGATGACACTTTCGAGTTCTGTAAATCTTGTTGGGTTTACGGTCTGGGGTGTCGGGAAATGCTGTTCTCGCCTGGCTGCGGCCGGTCATGGAGTTTTTTAGGGTTGTGTGGCTCATGTTTCTCACGCCTCGGCCTGTGCCAGCGGTTGGTCGTTTGGGCCCACGTGTGTCGTGTCCGCTCTCGGTGTTTGTCCCGCATTGGGTCCTCGACCCTGCCGCCTTGGCCCTGCGTAATGTCTGCATTCTTGCAGCTTTTCTGCATTGGAAGGCATGCGCAAAGCATGCTGCGAAACAGGCGCGTAATCGGGAAGCCTGGCTCAAGCCATGCCGCCCAAAAAAAAACCGGCAGCGGCCGCGCCTGCAGCCAGAAGCGGATACAAGCAAGGAGAGATCGCCGACCAGGAGATCAAAACAGAGCAGAAGTCCGGCAAGCACGCTATACCGGGCAAGCACTTCCGGAACCTCGTCAGAGCCATCCTAGCATGTCTTTGCGAGGAGAACGGGTTGGAGTGGAATGACCTGACCATAAAGATGAAGGGCATGGCGGCGTTGCAGACGGCGGCCGAAGCAGCAATGATCGAGATCATCGCTGCAGCAGAGAAGCTTGCCAACCACCGTGGTGCTAGCAGCGTGTGTCGCGTGGACCTTGTGCAGCTGCGACACCTTGCGGATGGCATGTCGGCGAGCGCAATCCAGCTTCTGCAATGCGCCGCAGACCGCCACCGCGTCATAGAGCTTTACCAGGCCAAGTTCGCAGTGATGCACAGGGCGCCCTCCAGTCGCCGACAGCGTGTTCTGAAGCAGCGTAAGTTTCTCAGCGGCTTGCAGAAGCAGCCAAGAACCCCTAGGGTTGCCAAAAATCCAGCCCCCAAGAACCGCTGCGCACAGAGGCGCTAGGTTGGGCAGCTTCTGAAAGGGCGCCAGAGCCATCAACGGAAGCTTTTAAGGCCCTGAAAGCTCGGTCCTGGACTGGTGTACACCCTATCAACCTCAACCCCTAAACGTGAAACCCTAAACCCCAAACCTAAACTCTAAACCCTAAACCCTCAACCCTCAACCTTAAACCCGAAACCCCAAACCCCAAACCTAAACCCAAACCGGCAGGTGGTGTTTTAGGGTGTTCCAACACAGAAATGGCATGTGTTGAGCCCCCGTGCCCCTTGTAAAGCAAACTCTGCTTCAAACAGCCTTTTTAGGTCCTTGAAAGTCAGAAATGAAGGTCTTCTGTCATGCTCTTTCGTGAGGGCTCTGGCCAGAGGCATGGCTTGCAAGTCGCTTCTTGCACAGAAACCTTCTAAGCGGGTGCATGCGACGGTTTTGGCGAGCAGAAAGCTTCTCGACTCCTTGAAACAGAGAAAAGAAAGGCTCGTCCCTCACCGTCCTTGAGAATGCCCTGAACCTTACACCTGACCTTACACCTGAAAGCGTTTCAAGTCCTTGAAACACACAAATAGAACCCTAAACAGCCTTTGAATTCCTGGCAGGCTGTGTGCCTTCGCAAAGCGCATCCGAAAGGATCAATGGCCTGGTCAAGTTCACCACCGGGAATGTGCTTCAGAACAACTTCTCCTGGGATGCGCGGGTTGCCAGCGCAGTGATCTGCGACAAGTACCGCAAACTCGCAGCGTGCGGCAAGAAGAGGAAGCACTGCGACACACGCGCCGGACATTGGGATGACGAGGACTGGAACATGGAGGCCGACAGTGACAAGGAGGATCTTTCGGATGACGCAGACGCCAGGCCAATGGAAGCTGGCTTGGATTTCGAGGCGCTGTCCGCCTAAACACCTTCCTCACTCTCAGTCCCTTTCACCCCCTATAAAGCATGGCCCAAACAGTGTTTCAGTACCTTCAAAAGTATCCCAAAACGCTTCCAGGCGGATCCAGTTCCAGACGCACCCTCGCTGGGCTCGGCAAGCTCCGCTTCCACTTCCAGCAGCTCCAGTTCCTCAGCAGAGAGTTGCTCAGACTCCGACGACTGAGTCTCCAAGGGCGACGACTTTTGGTGCCTGCTTGTTTTCTTGTCCAGAGGCGTTCATGAGTCTCCAAAGAGTTCCAGACACGGCCGTCTGGGCAAGAGCATCGCAAGACCACTTGAAACCCTAAGTCCAGATACCTTGCAAGGCACAAATCCAATCAACCCTTGAGATAGGGCTTAGCCTTCAGGTTTAGGATAGGGGCTTAGGGTTACTTGGTGGGGAAGTCACTTCCATTGGTTTTAATTGCTAGAAAGACTATGGCAGTAAGGAGCACCAATGGTCGGGCGGTTAAGGTGTTGGGCTGTCGACCGCTCATGTCCAGGTTCGAATCCCGGAGGCGAGCTTTTGGTTTCTCCATACAATCGTGCGCTATCTCTGACTTTGGGTCCCCTGAAACGCCGATGGGAGAAGGCAAACCTCCGTAAAGACATTGGCTGGCAAACCCTCAATCCTAAAAGGTGCTGTGTGGCAAGCCCAAAACCCTAGAAGTAGAGGCTGAGTGCTGGTTCCAGGCTTTTAAAAGGGTTCAAAGTCTGGATTCCTGGACTGCAGGCGCAGAACAGGCCCAGAACAGGCCCAAGCCCCAAAAAGGAGAAGTTGCACGGCAGCCCTAAACCCTAAAAGGCGCTGTGGCAAGCCCAAGACCGTGACAAAACAACAAAGCAGGCCTGGGTACTGGTTCCAGGCCCCTAAAACGACGACAAACAAAAAAATCCACAACCCGCCAAAACACACGCTCGCTTTGGTTCCTGCTTTCGCTGAGCCTAAGTACTGGTTCCAGGCCACTGAAACGGTGGCAAGCTTAAATGATATGCAGTGTGAAAGGTGCTTTGTGGCTTGCCCAAAACCATGACCATACAACAAAACAGAGGCTGAGCACTGGTTCCAGGCCCCTAAAACGGCGGCAAGCTAACAACAGGTTCCAGGCCACTGAAACGGTGGCAAGCTTAGTGTGGCCTGCCCAAAACCACAGGCTGACTCCTGCTTCTAGACATTAGGCCGGACTTTGGACCCTCCAAAACCTTGATTGGAAACTTACAGTCCCTGAAATGCCGAAAAAGGAAACGGTTGCCAACAACAACTGAGGAGGGGTTAAACCTTAAAACCCGAGAAGGTTCCAAGGTTAAGCAATGCAACCTAAACCCTTCACCTTTAAACCTTACAGAGGCTACATAGGTACTGCTTCCAGGCTTTTCAAACGGTGGCAGGTGAGATCCTCAAGCCCTGAACGGTAGTCGGCTTTTAGGGGCTAGGTCATAGACAGTGACTAGTGTGCTCTTGCGATGCCTGCGCAGACCTGGATTCGCGCTGGGTAGAATCTAGAAGGGGTTTGGGGGGAGTAGAACGTCCCGGAAGCTTTGTGGCGCATTGCAGCAGGAATCACGCAAGGCACTCTTCCTGTTTGATGTGTCAAAAGCTGTGCCGGTGCTTGTTCTGATACTTCAAAAGCAGCGACTTGGGGTGTACAGAGGGGCCCCGCGACTGTTTAAGGCAGTCACCGCTGGCGAGCTTTCTGAGAAGGAAAATCTCCTGTGTCCAGATCCAGAGCAAGCTTCCAGTCCCCTGAAACCCTTGCTTGACTAGCTTTCGTGTGACAAACCAAGCAAGCAGGGCATGTGCAACACCAATAACAACATGTGTACTCAGAGCCGTGAAATACATACGTGGAAAACGGATTACGTGCTAACCGGCCGGCACGTTAACACGCAAACCCTACCTAGAGTTGTATTGACGCTCAAAGATCTCACACCCCTAGGAACGAGCGCGTCGTCGCGGGGAACTGGGAGAACGAGAAGGATTCGGCGGGGGGGGGGGGGGGGGGCCTAAACCCTAAACCCTAAGGCTTTTGGGTACACAAGGGAAAGAGAAGAACCTGGGGGCAGATATAGACAGGTGTGCGGGGTCGGAATGGGTAGGTATGCCGGCTCTTGAGACCATAAACCCTATTCCCTAAACCCTAAACCCTAAACCCTAAACCCTATAAACCCTAAAAACCCTAGAAACCCTAGAAACCCTAGAAACCCTAAAAACCCTAAAAACCCTAAAAACCCTAAAAACCCTAAAAACCCTAAACCCATATAAACGCTAAAAACCCTAAAAACCCCTAAAAACCCTAAACCCTAAACCTAAACAAAAAACTTAAACCCTAAACCCTAACCCTAAACCCTAAACCCTAAACCCATTACTTGTGGCTCAGTCCTGTGTGTCCTGGCATCTTGCAAGCAGAAGCATCCCTGGGCACGTCGCCTGGTAGGTTCAGCTCAACACCTTCAAACCCTAGAACTCTAAAACCCCAAAAAACCTTAAATTTAAACCCTACTTATATACTACGTGTAACCAACCCTGTTGCCCCAAAACCCTAGAACCGTAGAACTCTACAGCTACAACCTTACAACCCTACGACCCTACAAGCCCTCACCCTCAACCCTCAACCCTAAACCCTAAACCCTAATCCCTAAACCCTAAACCCTGTGCCGGACACATCTTCCGAAACCCCTTTTAGGGGGTCCCAGACTTGGCAAAGTTTAGGGTTTAGGGTTTAGGGTTTCGGGTTTAACGTTTAGGGTTTTAGGCTTTGGGGTTTAGGGTTGAGGGTTTAGGGTTTAGGGTTATTCTGCAGGAGCTCGGAGAAACTTGGGCCTCACGAAATGCCTTCGCCTTCGGCCGCCGGCAACGGGGCGAAAGCCGCGCGGGTGCCGGGAGCCCGGCCACAGGGTGGTAGGGTTTAGGGTTTAGGGTTTAGGGTTTAGGGTTTAGGGTTTAGGGTTTGGAGTTTAGGGTTTAGGGTTTAGGGTCTAGGGTTTAGGGTTTAGGGTTTGGGGTTTTAGGATTTTAGGGTTTAGGGTTTAGGAGTCATACTTATATCTACCAACGAATCTCCAAGTCTACTTGAGCGGGGATTGCACGATGGGCGTAAGTCTCAAAACAAAAACCTAAGGGTCCATGTGCCACGTTCTTATATACTTGGGCCCAACAGTCCCTATATCGGAGGTACTTTAAGGCCCAAGTATTCCCGATTTAGGTACTTGAACCCTAAACCCTAGACCCTCGACCCTAGACCCTAAACCCTAGTGAGCGCAAAGCCCTGTTCGTACAGCCTTAATCCGAGATGCAGTGCAGGGGACTAGGTCTAAGGATTTGGGGTTTGGAGGGTTTCGGGTTTAAGGTTTGGGAGGCTTCGGATACTTTATGTTTGGGGAGTGCGGGCAAAGCCACGAGCCCTTTACTAAGCCTTGGGTTTGGGTTTAGGGTTTGGGTTTAGAGTTTAGGGTTTAGGGTTTAGGGTTTAGGGTTTAGGGTTTAGGGTTTAGGGTTTAGGGTTTGGGGTTTGGGGTTTAGGGTTTAGGGTTTAGGGTTCCCGAGACTCTATATGCCCTCAGCACCAGATCTCGAGGTCCTTGACAAGCTTCTGGGCACTGCGGGCTCTCTGGTTCAGCTGACGGACTCAGTCGAGTATGGCCTGACCGACATCCAGGTACAGGGTTACGGATTGTTGGGTTAGGGCTCGGGGTCTGTAGGGTTTTGGAGGTTTAGGGTTTATAGGGTTTAGGGTTTAGGAACCATCGTTCCGTCTGTTCCGGGTTAGGGTCTCTTATGAACCAAAATGAAGCAAGGGTGCCGTTGCTTCCTCCCGCCTTCGTACTCGTACGGGTGCTGTTGGCCTTCTTCTCACAACTCACAAATCATTTTGGCGTCGCATGTTCTCAAAAAGCTTCCCAGAGCTCGAACCAACCCTCAACCCTCAACCCTCAACCCTCAACCCTAAACCCTAAACCCTAAACCCTAAACCCTAAACCCAAAAACCTAGACAGAGATGCCCCAAGTTGTGGGAGCATTGCAGTCTACGAGTTCATGAGAGCGCCCCGGTCACGACCAGCCCCAGGGGTTGTTAAGGTCCACACGCACACCCCAGAAGCATGACCCCATTGAGCGGTTTAGGGTTTAGGGTTTAGGGTTGAGGGTTGAGGGTTGAGGGTTGAGGGTTTAGGGTTTAGGGTTGAGGGTTGAGGGTTGAGGGTTGAGGGCTTAGTTCGGGTTTCTAAACTCAGCAGCCTCCACCTGGGTGGTTGGCAAAATTATGGTCCCTTTTTTGGATCCCTATGCTTATTACGGCACCTAATATCTAGGGTACCCCAAAAGGGATCATAATTTTGACAACCCCAAAACCTAAACCCTAAACCCACTTGCACCCCCGAGAAAAATCCGCAAAGAGCCTCTGCAGCACCACTGTGCAGGAGTACTATGCCAATTCGGGAGCCATGGTGCGACGCATGAGTCGCCTGGATGATTTCTTGGTAGGGTTTAGAGTTAAGGGTTTAGGGTTTAGGGTTTAGGGTTTAAGGGATACCACTGGAGGATCCATTAAACTCGACCCAGGCCTTTTTTTTCACCCCGATGCCCAGAAACCCTGCGACCTTTCTGAACCTCCGGTGCTGAAGCGCTTTCGTGCATGTTGACAGCCCGAAAGAGCGCCCCCCAAACCCTAAACCCTGAACCCTAAACCCTAAACCCTAAACCCTAAACCTCCCCCCCCCCCCCCACCCCCGCTGCCTTGAATGCCTTGAGAATGCTGCCTCATCTTAGGCGACCTCCAGGAGAAGAAGGTGGAGGCCATTCTGCCCGGGCTTTTTTGGGGCTTTTAAAGAGCTTGAAAGGATTTTTGTTGGGTTGTTCAGGGCTGTTAAGGGGTATCTTTTGGCTTTAAGCGCTTTGTTGCGTTTTTGTTACTATTATGTGTTTCTTGCTTTGTTTTGCGTTTGTTGAAAGTTTGTTTTTTTTTGCTGTTTGGCTTTTTTTGTGGGTTTTTGTTGTGATCTTGTTGGGCTTTTCAGGGCGTTTGGGGGGTTTGAGGGCGTTTAAGGGCTTTTTTTTGGGGGGGGGGGGCGTTGTTGGTGTCTTTTTTTTTTTTTTTTTGGGGGGGGGGGGGGGGGTTGGGGCTTCTTGGCTTTCAAGGCTGTTTTGTTGGCTTTTTTGGTTTGGGTTTTTGAGCTAATGCTTTTTGTTGGGCTTCAAGGGCTTTCAGGGCCCTAACCCTAAACCCTAAACCCTAAACCCTAAACCCTAAGGGCTTCAAGGATTATCGTCGCCGACTTAAACCTTCCACTCTTCTCAGCCTTCCGGTTTTCGGGTGGCTGGGATGTTATATGGGATGAGCCCTCTACCCTAGACTAGGGTCAGCTGCTGAGGGCTATTATCATCCCTATGAGTTGCTAGTATAAGAGGGAACATCCCAAGTTTAACAAGGACCCAAGGCAGATTTTAGGGTTGTTTTGGGCTTTGTTTGAGGTAGTACTCGACCCTAAACCCTAAACCCTAAACCCTAAAACCCTAACGGGCTAGTTTGTGAACCCCGTTCGGACTTGTGGAACCCCCTAGGCGCCCTAATGTTGTTCGTTACTTGATGAGGCCCGACTGGCACAACGACCCAAGCCCTACCTACGCTAAGAAGCCCTTAGCAACTGTCACCCTTCAACTTACAACCCTCCTAAACCCTAGGCCCCAAAACCCACATGGGGGCTTCCCAAATTAGGGGTCCTTATTATAAGGCAATCCTACTATTTGGAGGAAGACTTTCCCTAAACCCCAAACCCTAAACCCTAAACCCGAAACCCTAAACCCCCCTCCCCCCCAACATCTCGGCAAGGCGCTTGTGGTGGACACGACGCAGCGCGAAGTCATGCCCAGCCACGCGACTTCACTGGGGGGTTTAGGGTTTAGGGTTTAGGGTTTAGGGCTTAGGGCTTAGGGCTTAGGGCTTAGGGCTTAGGGTTTAGGGCTTCCAGCATGGCACCATGCAGGTAGGGTTTAGGGTTTCGACTTCATTGGGTTGAGGGTTTCCAGCATGGCACCATGCAGGGCTTGCATGGTTTGGGGTTTATGAGGGTGAAGGGATTACGGCTGAGGCTTCTAATAAGAAATCTGCCTTTTTCAGCCAGGGTTTCGAAATTTCTTAAAACCCCAAATGGAAATAAGAAAGTTAGGTTTGAACCAGACCCTGAAATATATTTCTTATTCGAGGGTTGATTAGAGGTGAGTATAGGGACAGAGTTAGGGAACATGTAACTCACCAGTGTAGAGCTTTTCGGTGTGCTCTAAGCTCTAAACCCTAAACCCTAAACCCTAAACCCTACACCCTAAACCCTAAACCCTAAACCCTAAACGCGGGGAAGAGGCCCGGCACAAAAAGTCACCTTCTTTGGGCCTTTCCGGCCTGAAACACCTCAAAAAGGTGACTTTTTGTGCCGGGCCTCTTACCCTAAGCCCTAAGCCCTGAGCCCTGAGCCCTGAGCCCTGAGCCCTGAGCCCTGAGCCCTGAGCCCTTAAAGGCTTCCCCGCAAGAGCCCGGCACCCCCACAAGAGCCCGGCACAAAAAGTCACCTTTTTTGGGCCTTTCCGGCCTGAAACACATCAAAAAAGGTGACTTTTTGTGCCGGGCCTCTTCCCCGCATGAGCCCGCGCAAAAAGTCACCTTCCGGCCTCAAACACCTCAGTTTCTATGGCAATCGCGAAAGAAGAGCAAAACCAGGCCCAGAACAACCCCCACACAAAATGTAACCGGTGGGGTTCGAGCCCAGGCCCGCCCAACATAAAATGAACCCGGCGGGGTTCGAACTGGTGCCCATTGGCATCAAGGACTGTTGCTTTGCCACTGAGCTATTCGGACTCTGAAACCCTCAAGAGAATGATGTGTATTTACTACTTTGCTACAATGGAAAAGGTTTTGCCGTGAAAGGTGACTTTTTGTGCCGGGCCTCTTCCCCGCAAGAGCCCGGCACAAAAAGTCACCTTTTTTGGGCCTTTCCGGCCTGAAACACCTCAAAAAAGGTGACTTTTTGTGCCGGGCCTCTTCCCCGCAAGAGCCCGGCACAAAAAGTCACCTTTTTTGGGCCTTTCCAGCCCCAAGCACCTCAAAAAAGGTGACTTTTTGTGCCGGGCCTCTTTTTGCAGAGGCTTTAGGTTGAGACTACGGGGCTTAAGGGATTAGAGGGTTTGAGGCTTGCAGTTTCTTGGGTTCTTGGTAAATATGACAGAGAACGTTACTTAATACTTCCTCGGCGGAATTTTTTGGGGCGAGCCCGCGAGGCCCTGGATTTTAAAATGTGTGGCCGGTCCAGGTCCAGATTTCTTAATTAATAAAATTTCTTAACACACTCCTGGGCCGTAGGGCTTGGCGTTTAGGGACAACCTGTCGGCTTTCCTGCGAAGAACATGGGGCACTTAAGAAGCCGCAGACCCGCAACTCCGACGACTTCATCGCGCTCGACGCAGATTGCAAGGCGGCAAACATCAAGCGCCATGCATACTATGCTGAGGCTCCAACGCGATGGAGCAGCTGTCTCACGACTAAGACACTGCAATCGCGGCCACTGTGCCTCCAGTCCAGGACCCGGACATCATCCCAATGGCGCAGACCCGACCCGGAAATGTAAAAGTCACGCGAGTTCTCGGTCCTGGACTCCCACCACCACTACAGCCACTGCCGTGGAACCAATGCTCCGGACTTGAAGTGTAAACAATCAAACTTCCTCTCTGGGGAATTAGGGAAGTAGGCGCCCTATGCAATCCATGAAGGGGGCAATATAAGGGGAAGAGTAGTATAAGGTACCCAATGCCCCAAGTCCTTACTAAGAACTACACTGCGGCCCCTGAAACCTAGAAACCTCACGAGATCCCGCGGCTTAGACAATTATAAAATATTCTCTACTAAGAACCCCCCCAAAAAATCTAAGAGATTCTTCCTGATGAAGGGCAGTATAGGATTCTTTGTTGTGGCAGTATAGGGATTCTTTGTTGTGTGTTTTGGGTTCTGAAGCAAATGGTAGTTCTCACAACATACCTACATCTTCCAGCCATTTGCACGTACCCGGAAAGGAGGCCGCCAAAATGCTTCTTAGTAGCCGCCGCAGGAAGCTATGGCCATCCTTACGCAATACGACCTGACGGTGATCGACGAGGTGTCAATGCTCACGGCAGAGCACTTCGAGCGCGTGCTCGCCATCTGGAAGTACGCCGACAAGCTCCCCTGCTGGGTCCTCGCGGGCGACTTCTGGCAGCTGCCGGTGGTGGACCAGACGGCGGAGCGGTGCGAGCTGAGCCGCGCTAAACCCTCAAACGCTGCCCTAAAGCCTAGAAACCCCACGAACCCTGCAACCCTAATACCCCGTAAAAAGCGGTACAAACCCTATAAAACCATCAACCCTATCAACCCAATAAAACTCATCAAACAACCTGTAAGACCCTGAACCCTAAACCCTAAACCCTAAACCCTAATGTGGTATCCTGATTAGTGTGGGGGGGGCCCCCCCCCCCCCAAACTAAATCCACCCCCGCAATAGTGTCACCAAAAAAAGGGACCCCCCCAAACCAATTTTCGGCCCCGGGCCCCCCCCCACCGGCTCCTCTTCATTTCCTCTTCGCTCCTCTTCCCTCTCCTCTTCCTCTCCCTCTCCTCTTAGGTAATTAAGCTCCGACTTGAAGCTGCTCTTCTTTTGCTCTTTTCTTTCATCATCTTGTTCTCTTTTTTTCTCTCTTCCGAAACCCATGCCCGAAAAACTTTACTTTATTGTGGGGGGCAATCGAATTTTTGTCTCCTGAATAATTTTTGGAAAACTGTTCATTATTGGAGGGGTCCAGACTAATCAGGATACGAACCCTAAACCCTAAACCCTAAACCCTAACCCTAAACCCTAAACCTATACCCTAAACCCTAAACCCTAAACCCTGAACCCTGAACCCTAAACCCTAAACCCTAAGCCCTAAACCCTAAGCCCTAAACCCTAAACCCTAAACCCCTAGAACAGGGAAGCTCGACTCGGTGCTGCGCATGGAGTACCGCACGAAGCTCCTGAACCCGAAGTGGGCCGAGGCTGGGTTTAGGGGTTTAGGGGTTGAAGGTTTAGGGTTCGAACCCTAAACCCGAAACCCTTGAGGTTTGCTGTGCTTTACAGGGGGTAAATTTAGGCTTCACGCAAAACAGGGCAGGGACGGCTTTTCGGATTTGTGCATCTCTTGTAGGGTGTTGGCAGAACACCGGAAGTGGAGCAAAGAGGGGGCATGCAACTAATATGTTACCCCTAAACCCTAAACCCTTGGTTCCCGCTGCAGAGTCTCCTAAACTAGACTAAACTCTACTGTTGCGCCTGCTTTAGTGGGGGGCCCCTGTTTACAGCCAAGTTTGCATGGCTAGTCAGGACACTGTCATTGTTTGGGGCTTTTGAGCTCTAATATACATTCCTCCTTTTAAAAAATATCATGAAAAAACCTGTGGACCGTTTCAAGAGAGCAAGAACCAGCTTCAACTGTTCCGAGGGAGGGGGTGGAACACGCTAAAGCAGGTACAACATCATACCCTTATACCCTTGGACCCTAGACCCTATAGACCCTATATCCTAAGTAAACCCTAACCCTAAATCCTAAACTCTAAGCCCTAAGCCCTAAGCTCTAAACCCTATCCCCGAAGCCAACCCCAGTCCCCCTCCTAAGCCCCCAAAGCCCCTAAACCCTAACCTCTAACGCTCTAGAACCTCGAAACCCGAAACCCCCTAAGCCCTAATTCGCCTGCAAGCCCCGAATCCCTGAGCCCGAAGACACCCCGAAACCCCTGAACCCCTAAGCCCCAAGCCCTAATAGCCCTAAACCCTAATAGCCCTAAACCCTAGTAGCTCTAAACCCGAAACCCTCTAAGATTCCTTTGAGGCCATGGTTTCGCAGGGCAGCGGCGGTGCTTTCGAGGTGCCAGGGGAGCTTCTCCAAGGGTTTAGGGTTTAGGGTTTAGGGTTTAGGGTTTAGGGTTTAGGGTTTAGGGTTTAGGGTTTAGGGTTTGGGGCTATTAGGGTTAAGGCTTAGGGACGAAAGGAGGGACCCTTGCAAGGGGCCTTCGACTTCGGTACTGCAGGGACTCAATGGTATGTATAGGGGCTAGATAGGTCCATAAGATTAAGGGTTCCTTCTAGGGGTCCCTCCATATTTCCCTTGAGATTGCGTTGTGGGGGTTTTGGGTTTATCGGGTTTTAAGGGCTGTAGGGATCACAGTGTTTAGAGGGTTTACGGGGGCTTACAGGGTTTGTAGGGTTTATAGGGTTTTAACGCTTTCATAGGGTTTATTGGGTTTGTGCATGTGCTGGGGTTTAGGGCTTAGAAAGGCTTTGGGTTTTGTGTTGAGGCACAGTGTTTAGGGTTTGGTGATTCAGGGCAGTGTTCCTGTTTAGCCCCTACTACTAATCGTAAACCCGAAACCCTAAAACCCTGAACCCCAAACCCTACTACTCCCTAGCACGAACCCTAGACCCTGGAGCGCTTGCCCTCGATTGCTCCCACCCAGCATGTCCTGAACCCTAAACCCCTGCACCCTCAACGCGAGAATCCTAGAAACCCAGAACCCTGAACCGTCAACCCTGTACCTACTTCCAAGAATGATTCAACATACGTACCCCAGACCCATACCCCTTAACTTGTAAACGGGGGAATACAAGGGGTATGCCCAAGAGCTATTTTCAATACTTCGTAGACTCTCGAGACTCTAGAGACCCTGAACCCTACACCCTACACCCTGAACCCTGAACCCTGAACCCTAAACCCTAAACCCTAAACCCTAAACCCTAAACCCTAACCCTAAACCCGAAACCCTGGACGGAGGTCTCGCAGCGGATGACGGCCCTCCTGGGGTGGGGTGGCACGGCGCGCTTCGCAGAGGCTGGGTATCCAGCTGACCTGAAGTGTAGATGTAGGGATCCCAAAAGGGTACCAGACAGAGCCCCACCATGTGCTGGGTTTAGGGTTTAGGGTTTAGGGTTTAGGGTTTAGGGTTTAGGGTTTAGGGTTTAGGGTTTAGGGTTTAGGGTTTAGGGTTCAGGGCCTACAACGCCGAAGCCAGAAGCGCAAGATGACCAACCCTGAGCCCCGCACCCTAAACCCTAAACCCTAAACCCTAAGCCCTAAACCCTAAACCCTAAACCACCCTAAACCCTAAACCCTAAACCCTAAATAAACCCTAAACCCTGCAGGACTGGGTCTGGGACCAGAGTGCGCAGCGCTACGCTCCGTCCTCGGATGCCGCGCGAGCCGTTCTTTTGGGGGGGGGGGGGGGGGGTTGAGGGTTTGGGGTCTCGGCTTGCCGTTTAGGGTTTAGGGTTTACGGTTTAGGGTTTAGGGTTCAGGTTCCTTCAATTAATTAGGAATATGGGTAGTTCTCTAGATGCAGTTCCCCTTTTAAGTCCTATATATCGTACCAATCTAGTACGGGAATCACATTTGGGACCGCCAAAAGGGACCCGAGTTCTATACCTTACAATATGCCAGGGCTTTTCAGCGGCATCAATAAACGTTCTGTCTGGGATCGTGTACACGGCCTCTGGGGTTTAAAGAAAGTTTAGGGCTTATGGGACGGGAACCCCAACGTGTTTAGGGTTCTATGGGCCCGAAGGTCGGTTGAGGGTTTCGGGAAATCTGGTTAGTAGGTTCCTAGGTAGGATAAGGGGGACCCTTAAAGGGGAACCCTTCTTAACCCTCTTCTGGCTCTCTTAAACAGGGACCTTATTCAGAGGGTCTATAACCCCGAAGGGTCCCCCTAATCCTATCCCCTATAGGTTTTCACATGTGGCAGGGTGACTTTCAGTTCTCTTATATTCCGGATCTCTTTGGCGGCTTCTCGTTTGTTTTTCTCTCAGCTTCTTCCTTGCGCAATACTTACTTAGGCAATACGTTTCCTAGAAAGCCCTAAAGCCCCCGAACTCTACTTCCGTAAAGATTTGTTTGGGCCCCCGAACACACCTGAAGAACCTAAACTTTCTTTGGTGCCCGGAGCACACCTGAAAACCCGAACCCACAAACCCTGCACCCCGCAACCGTAAACCCTAAACCCCAAACCCCAACCCCTCAACCCAGCCCCCAAGCTCCAAGGCCTAACCCTAAACCCCAAACCCTAAACCCTAAACCCTAAACCCTAAACCCCAAGCCCCAAGCCCCAAGCCCCAAGCCCCAAGCCCCAAGCCCCAAACCCTCCCGAGCCCCAACCACTGAACACCCCAAGCCCTTAACCCTAATTCCCCTTCGGAGGAAAAAAAAACCTACCATAGGGGGTCGAAATAAATACTATTCTGGTCCCTATTTTACTATACTATACTACGCCACCCCCCCCCCCCCCAAAAAAAAAAAAACAAAAACAAAAACACACACACACACACACACACAAGAAATCAACACTATTCTACTTGCTCCTACATGAAGCCCTAAACCCTAAACCCCGAAACCCTAAACCCCGAAACCCTAAACCCCAAACCCTAAACCCCAAACCCTAAACCCTAAACCCCAAGCCCTAAACCCGAAACCCGAAACCTTAAACCCCAAACCCTAAACCCCGAAATCTCCTAAAACCCCCTCAAATATTTGTCAACCTGGAGGTCTTTGACGAGGACATGGCCCGGCGGCTGAAGGAGAGCAATCCCGAGGCAAGGGTCTGGGGTTTGGGGTTTAGGGTTTAGGGTTTAGGGTTTAGGGTTTAGGGTTTAGGGTTTAGGGTTTGGGGTTTAGGGTTTAGGGTTTAGGGTTTAGGGTTTAGGGTTTAGGGGTTTAGGGGTTTAGGGTTTGGGGTTTGGGGTTCAGGGCAAGGAGTGGAAGTAGAGGTAGCGGACGCAGGTGGGGGCGGGGGGGGGAGTCGGGGTTGGTTTGGGAATCGTTGGTGTTTTTTTCTTGGGTTTGGAGTGACTATAGGCGGGGGTCAGGGTTTAGGGTTTAGGTTGGGATGTCCCCTCTTAGACTAAGAGTCCTTCATGGGGATTCTAGCATCCCCTTGCTATATCCTCTTTTAAGACTGTTTGTAAAAGGGGGAACATCCCAAATACCCTAAACCCTGAACCCTGAACCCTAAACCCTAAACCGTGCATATATCATGCAGGTTCCTAGGTGGCGTCCTGGGTGCGCCGCGGTTTGGGATGTGTACGTCTCCAGGGGTAGTTAAACAAGGGGGTTTAGGGTTTAGGGTTTAGGGTTTAGGGTTTAGGGTTTAGGGTTTAGAGTAACCTCTAATGGTAGCTGGGTCTTGGAGTACTATACTTTAATACTTGTTTTGGTTCTGGGTTCCTATTATAGCTACTTATACCTAAAAAGTATATACTTTTTTTCCAGGGTCTACTCCAAAGCTAAGGTAGTTTCATGGGCCCTTAATATGGTCCCTTACCTTCTCTAAGGGGTTCTGAAGAATGGGCGCTGCGGCTTGATAGGGGATCATAAGGGGTCAGATATATTAGATGGCACCATCCCGCGCCCCTCTCGCGCCTCCTGTGCAGGCGAAGTGAAGAAAGAACCCTAAACCCTAAACCCTAAACCCTAAACCCTAAACCCTAAACCCTAAACCCTAAACCCACCTCCTGACCGTGGAGCCACAGCACCTCCTCCTGCTCAACCCGTTGTACGGGCTGCAGAGCGGCTGGAGCTGCGCGACCGGGCTCACCACCTAGACCCTGAGGCCGAAAGGCGATGGCAGGGCCTGAACTTCCAGGAGCTCTTCGCTTGCAGGTCCGCGCTGGAGGAGGTGGACGTGCTGCCACTGCCGCTGCCCATTTCTTGGCCAATTTGTGCTAAACCCTAAACCCTAAACCCTAAACCCTAAACCCTAAACCCTAAACCCTAAACCCTAAACCCTAAACCCTAAACCCTAAACCCTAAACCCTAAACCCTAAACCCTAAACCCTAAACCCTAAACCGTACCTGGATCGAGATGGTGGAGGCCAGTGGCGTGCTGGACCTGGCGGAGGGGCGCATGGCGAAGCTTGACATACTAAGGGATCATGCAACCACCTCACAATAAACACTTATAAACCCTAAGCCTTGAACCCTAAGGATAAGCCCTTGAGCCCTAAGCCCTAAGGGTCCCCCAGAGAAGGGCCCATACTACGGGAACATGAAATGGCCCTAAGAAGGTCTGAGGCTTCTTTCAACCTGCCCTGAACAGGCACCCCCCTTAATTTCGAGGCATGATCTGGTTGAGGGTTTAGGGTTCAGGGTTCAGGGTATTAATGTAAGGGTAGCTCGATGGGCCCGTACTATGGTTTCTTACCTTGTGGGGTACGTAAGGGGCATATAACGGGTGCCCCTTTTAAGGGCCTATGTTAAGGGACCATGTAAGGCGGTTCAGGGCTCAGGGTGGGTTTAGCGGT